CACGTCGCCGTTTACCTAAATATCATTTACATTCATTGAAAGGTAAGAAAAGAGAAGAAAGTAATTTTTCATTGGTTGTACCTGAGTTTTGTCCTCTAAAAACATTTCAAAACCCTTACAAAAATTTAGAAAACATGTTTTTTCTCGATACGCTCTACAATCTGGACAGATCAGAAAACTTTTTCTCGAAAAAAAGTTTTTCCCTGGAAAACCGGTTTTTCAAAAACCAGGTCTTAGAAAGCCTAAGAGCCCAAACGGTTGTCATATTCGGACTCAGCACATTTTTTTACCTATTACCCACTAGCTTAGAGCTAAAAAGCGAGGTGGCAGTTGGTGACCCTCCCTCGTGAGATAAACACGATTTTCTGTTTAGCAAAGAAAGTTGAAGTTTTGGAACCCTGAAGCGTAGTTAAAAGCACCAAAAAGGATTCTAAACATTTTCAGTTTTGTACGAAATTTCTACATTTTCAAAACTTATCGTGCATGTCAAAATCGGAACGCGAGCCGAATGACTTGGCAAATGCGCACGTATCGACACACTCATACTTTTCCTTTTGACACATCATTTTCGAATATAGTTTTCATTTTATTTATTTAAAGGATTTATATATACTTGTATTCAGAAGCAAAGTAGTGTGTAAATATTGTAAAAAGGAGTAACTTTGAGGTCTTACTCAGTTCCCCTTTTTTTGTCATGATTTCTCCATTTTTTACACATGATGTCATTCCACGTCAAAACTGCTTTTTAGAATACTGGGCCACTTGAGCAGTAAATTGTTCCTCTTTTCTTCAATGGGTACGTCGATTACTCATGTGTTCGATTGTTATCGCGGTAGCACACTACACGTAATATAACGGTAAGAAGAAAGCTGAATCATAACTGCGGACAAATGCGACTCTATAGATGAAAAAAGGTTACATGATATTTACCGTTGAAAAAATAATTCGCTTGAAAGGGTCTCTTACTACTTCATTATCCGAGGAAGCAAGAATTGTATATAAACAACCCAAAATGCTTTATAATATTATTAATATTCTCAAGCATAGTTTCTAAAATGGCCTCCCTCATAAAGTTACTTCTGCTTGTCCTCGTCTCCTGCTGTTGTCTTTTGCCAGTTGTTCACACTCTACCACCAGCGGATTGTAAGAACCAAGGCGGTGGTAATTACGGTTGTTTCAACCGAAGTACAGAAGCGTACTGTACACAAGTTGGTATTTTACCTCCATCAGGTGAAGATCGTTGGGCTCTTGCTGGTTTAGATCTCAATGTTGATTGGGTGCTAAAATGTGGTAATATTGTTGCATATAAATTACAGTGGTTTAGTGGCGGATGGAGTGATTGGTATGTTCCTGGCGTCAACGATATGGATGACAAAGTGAACGATGGAAATGTTTTGAGAAGAATGTGGTCGTATTTCGATGATCATACACATACGTTTATCATCTGTAAGAATACTCATTATCAGCTGGCTAATTGTGAAGGACATTGATGAACAAGGCGCTCATTGTCTCAATCTACAACTTTTTTCGTGCTTTGACAAAATTATTTACTCTAGGAATTTCAGCATGTATTTTTCTAATCATTTTTAATAAAGTTTTTTAACTCTGTCTAATAGACAAGTGGGATATTCGCTGGATACGGTCCACCAAGAATGAGACATTTTTCTTTGCTTATTTTTTTGGAGAATGTATCCAGAATTCCAGACCTCCGTTCCAAACTCATTTGGCAGAAAATGATTTGCACTATAAAACTGTCGACTTTGTTTTGCAAATAAATTTTTCTCGGTTGCCGAAAAATTTAAAAGAAAGCAACTATTCAATTGCTCAACCGCGACGGTTAAAAACCGAAAATTACGAAACGTTTTGAATACACGCTCCACTAAAAATTCAATATGTTACAAAATACTCCGTGAACTTCTGAATTTTTTTCCCTAGACTGAAAGGCTAGGATGTAGAATGGTAAATGATTCCGTCATGTGCGTATGTGTATAGCAGTGGATCAAGTCCAATGCAAGTCATTAAGACCATATTTTTATTCGAAGGATACCGATGTCGATCGTGAAGAATAAGATTATTCAATTACAGGCCACTTGCAATTATTAGTCACAGATTTTTGGAAGATTTTGATGAAAATTGCAGTTGCTATAGCACACATCCAAAACTGGGAAACTACTTTGAAATAAGAATGGAAGATTCAAAGATCTAGATAGAGCTGCCATGTCCGGTTTCGTCTTTGCGTAAGGACCCATCAGATGACTTCAATGTTGAGTTGTCTGTATGATTCGAAAATCAACACTAGACAAACTACAGGGTGGCACATAACCTTTGCCTCCCCCTCTATAACCTAAAGTATCAATGATATCATAAATGTATTTTATATCAAACTAAAGCGCGTCAAAAACTGGATTTATTGGTACTAAATACTAAAGATTATGACGGCCTTTTAATGTCGAACTTACGAAATTTTCAGAAATTGTATACTTTTTTGGCGTAGAAAATTAAGATGCCAGTAATTCAAAAATGGAGTAAAACGTTTTTCTTGGAAACTTTTACATGGTTCGATAGAGTTCAACGAGCTCTACAAAACTGTATGTATCAGAAAAATTTTGAGCCATCTTTTTTGAAATAAAAAAATTCAAAAACCGGTTGGAAAATCGCAAAAAATGTTAAAAACACTCATTTTTTCCTGTGGAAGAAGGAATGTTTGTAAGGGTTTTGAAATGTTTTTAGAGGACAAAACTCAGGTACAACCAATGAAAAATTACTTTCTTCTCTTTTCTTACCTTTCAATGAATGTAAATGATATTTAGGTAAACGGCGACGGAGATTCCAAATACAACCCGTAACTACTAAAAGGAATAACCAAAGCTATCATTTTAGTTTCGCAGAACGCTTGCTGTAACTTTTGAAACTCATTACGTCTTTTCACTTGAGTCATCGGGCTGTTAGAAGGAGACATTCCTTTTTTTCCTTTTTTCTCACCACATTCATTCTTTACACGTGTTGGAATCTCACATGACCAGCAGACAGAGCTATGCTACCTCGTGTCACATTTCTCTGTACCTCTCTCTCTTTCTTTCTTTCTTCTCTCTTTGTTGTTTTGTGTGGTAGTCAGTTATTCTTTTTTCATCTTTGCGTGAAGTAGCGTCACTCATGAACGTCTCGAATATAATCAACCGCTTGTGCGAATTAGTAAGTAAGAATTTGGACTCGGGTTCGTCGTCTTCGACGTCTCAGAAAGAGTGTGAAGTAGCCGACGGTTAACTTCATTAAGAAGTGTTATCAACGTGTGGCTCTGGATGAACTCGATATTGATCTCTATCAGCGAAATAACATCATCAAGCTCACATCTCTTGTTCACAATCAGTTGAGTGCACCAGTCTTCAAACCGATGATCCAATATTTCTGGTACGCCGCCGGGCTGCTTCAAACGAATCCAGCACCATTTTTAAGTCTACTTGAAGTCTGTTTCCCTACCCCTGCCTCGCACGAAGAGTGTGAAGAAACCAAATGTGGCGAGAGTATGTTTATTCACTGCTCTATTTGCTCCAAGAAACTCTGTTTCGATCATTTCTTCGTCGCGTACCACTTCCATGGATGAACAGGACGGTGGCGGCTGACGATTTTTGACATGCTCGGTTGTTTGTAAGAAACGGAAGAAGGCATAGTTTTTCGAATAAAGGATATGAAAATAAACAAAAAGTGTTTAAGAGCACAGAAGCACATTTAAAATTCAAGAAGTGTCTAAACGTAAAGAAGGGGGTAAGAGGGAGATGAAGCGAAGAGGAAGGAGTGCGGAATCGAGGGAAAAAAGCGACTTTCAGTCAAGAGGATGAAGAACTCAATGAGTGTAATGTTTTCCTGTAAGAGAAGTTTTGTCCTCTAAAAACATTTCAAAACCCTTACCAAAATTTAGAAAACATGTTTTTTCTAGGTTTCTCGATACGCTCTACAATCTGGACAGATCAGAAAATTTTTTCTCGAAAAAAAGTTTTTCGCCGGGAAAACCGGTTTTTCAAAAATCAGGTCTTAGAAGGCCTAAGAGCCAAAACGGTTGTCATATTCGGATTCAGCACATTTTTTTACCTATTACCCACTAGCTTAGAGCTAAAAAGCGAGGTGGCAGTTGGTGACCTTCCCTCGTGAGTTGAATGATGTACCTTTTTATCTTAACTGATTACGTTTGTTTTTACTTAGTTACTGAGATTTTCACCAAAAAGGAAAACCAACGAAAAATGTCGAAACATACATCATTCGACTCAGTTTTCAATGCTTGCTGAAAGACCACTCCTCTGCTGAGTCATGGTTAAAACAAAAAAAGTTTGGATGATACGAAAATTTTTTGCAGCAGTAGTATCCAAAGAAATCGATGATAACGAAACCTTGGCCTTTTTATGCAAAAAGTCTGAATTTTTTGTGAAGAGAAAAATAAAAATGACTCGTTCCAGATTTATTATTTTTTGCAATATGTGAGGAACCGTATGAAAACGTAATAGGTTAGGTTAATGGTATTCCATTAGGATGGAAAAACCGTATTGTTAAAAACGATGGCATCAAAATTTTATAGGTCAAAATTTACTTTAATTTTGAAGTAGTTTAGGCTTAAGGTTTTTGTATTCTTTCTATATCTAAAATTTTATCCTCTAGAGTCAACTCTGTATAGTCCGTGCTGAAAGTAGCCAGAGCTAAATACTAATTTTACTGAAATGTGGGCCTGATTACTAAAAAACTAGATATAACTATCAGAAAATCGCCCTCTAGATTGGGCGCCCGTTATACCATCCGATGAATTGGGTTTCAATGTCGATTTCTTTTTCATCAATAAAATTGTACCTAATTACATCGCTTTTTGTATCTATGTAACTAGTTACATCGAGCAATGCCAATTATTTATTTCATGCTTGCGTTTGTATAGCTCAGAAAAAGGACAGGAACTCAACAAACTACGAAAGAATTATTTTTGACTTGTGGACATGATAAGGAAGTTGCCTCATGGTATGACTAAACGCAGAATGGTCTCGTTTGATGTAACAAGCCTATTCGCCAAGGTACCTCTCCACTTCGCAATCAACGTTGTTCTTAATGAACTATATGGCGTTGAACATGTGTGCTTTCTATCTAAACCAAAAAGAAAACGAGAGGACAGGTGCATCGAATGTCCAAAAACTTTAGCTGCTGTTAAAATTATCATATTCTTATAATAGAGTATATATTTACAAGTTTTAGTATTGCGTTATTTCAACACGAATACAGCATAAATGTTTAATAAATTGTAATTTTTAATATTCTTTTATGTACAAATATTACCTTTAACAGCAAAACGTTTCGACGTTTAGCTGTTAAATGTAATATTTGTACGAATAAAAGTATATTAAAAATTACAATTTATTAAAGAGTATATCTTGATATATTTTTTGGACAAACAGTAACCTTTCTAGCTCCTATTTTTTCTCTATAGTGATGTGCTTATGTCATTTTTGTTTTCTAGAAGTTATATTCATAATATAAACTGGTATCAGAGCAATATTGAATCGATTAGGTTTATATAGTGACTATCAAAGATTATTGAATGTTGGTTCTGACACAGCCGATTATGATTCAAATAATTTAAAGAATAAAACTATTGCATTATGTTTTGGTTAAGACTACTTCTGCTTACGAGGAACGTTTCTCTACCACAATTCCGAAGTCTTGTCTCGAAGGAACAAGAAAGGTATCGACAGTATACAATCGTTTGCACGGTAGATGTCTTCAATAAAATAAGGGTGAATTCCAGCACTTTCGAACAAAGTAGAAGGAAACCTAATGGATTCATATATAGAGTTGAAAATACCGTAAATGGATCGATTGCGTGGTTGAATATAAAAGAAACAGTGAATAAACACTCTGGTATGTTATAGCGCCCATCACCATATAAATTCGCGGCATCTTACACGAAAGGTTACTGATACATACAAACAGTTAAGTGATGATTTGAAAACAAAATTTGATATTGTCTACATATCATACGATGACAATGAGTATCAGTTCAATCGTATGCGTCGACGACTACCGTGGAAAGATGTGCCGCTCGATAAGTTTAGGCAAACAGCGCACGCAACTATAAAGGAGGGGGCCATTCTTTCATGAAATCGGCCCGTTAGTAAATTCAGTTTTATTCATAGAGTAGATAAAGTGCGAGTAGGGGAGTCGAACTTGGTATCATCGAAACCTTAGAACTTCTTCTCAAGAGAAATTTTATCACTTGAATATTTTCTCGACTCGACACCTAGTGGAAATCGTATTTACTGTGTTTTGTCGTTCCATTTCACAGTTAATCACACCTATCATATACCACTCGAAAGCACTTTTCCTGGCAACATTCTATATATAACACACTGAAGACTAATTGCATCTGAGCAGAGAAAAAACCGAAATAACAGTTAGTACTATATGAAATGCGGGATCTGTTCTCCATAGCTGCAATCTTATGGTCAAATTCAAAATTACCTTTAATCAGGCGAAGAGATATTGATATTCACTACTGTCGCCTTAGAGTTGGATTTTCTCAACTAAATAGTCACATATTTGATAAAGTTCTGGTGCATGATCCATCTTGTGAATGTAATAGTCTAATAAGAGAGACTGTTTACCACTTTTTTTTTGAGTATCCTAATGACAACAAGGAAAGACAAAATATAGTGACACAGTTCTCTAACAGGATTTCAGATGTTAAACTGCACCTTGAATCTCTTCTGTTACATTGTTGAATCTATTCGATACATTGATGCATGTTTGAAGAAAAAAGATGAATAAATTATATCAGATTATACTCATTCCGTTGTTGAATTCAAAAGATTTTAACTTCTTGTACTTCAAACGGACTTGATAAAAAATCTCCACGTCCAAATCAAGTTCAAGTCCGTCAAAAAAACCTTCAAGTCCGGACTGGACTGGCCCACCTCTGTCATCACACAAGCAGCTAGGATTAGCAACTACAGTATATCTAAAGAGATCGGAATTCAACTGTTCGACAGCAGAACTGAGAGTACCAGTAAATTCGTGAGTATCTCGGACAAAGACTTCAGGAGTTTCAGGTGAAGTTGATTGTTTTAATAAATCACGACATGATACTAAATAAGACTACTATATGTAGTGTTCTAGTTATATCAAAATGAGTAAAAGTTGCTTGCTCACAACACACATCTCGTTATTAATATAAGCTGTACAATATGATCAACGTTGAAAGTCATAGAGAGTTTTGATTAGTTGATTATAATCGTGTTTATTAATATCAAAGTTCTTTTTAACAATAACAAAATTCTTCTTCTTGAATATATTAACTGTGAATATCGTCGTTCACATTCGAATGGTTATGCGATGATCATATTATTGTTAAGGGTATCCCGTCTCTTTTTTGACACAATGGAACTCAGAGAAGTTGATCTTCGAAATTTATACCAGAAATAGAATATCGAAAAAGAAGGCCGATGAATTTTTGTACAGAGTTCTGACATGTTCTTCGATAGGTTTTCTAGGAAACCAATAGGAGAACATACTTCTTTTCTTTCGAGATATTCTAAAACTCCTACATTAAAATTCTCTTTACCATTTCAAAAACAATTTCATGCCCATAGTTAAAATCGAAAATGTTAAAAAAATGTAGAACATAGGGTTTAAGGTATCTATGGTGTAAATTTCAGCTCGATCAGACCATTTTGTAGAGAGGGAGTTTTGAGGAATCGAAAGGATCTTTGAAAAAACATATAGCGACAAAAGCGTATTTTGTACACACGGTATTTTTCCAGGTCATTTGAATACTTTCATAAGAAAAAGATAGAGAGGTACCCTTAAGCTGATTTATGATCATTTAAAAGTTATTGTTAGTGCTATTAATAGTTGTGATGGTAGCAGGTGTCGATTGTTGTTGAAGTTGGACTCGTCGCTCGGTTTCCGCTTGAATCATATTTCGCTGAACCTGATGAGGTAATGCGGGATTTAAACTGAGAGCGTAGGGAAGAATTATCTTCGATATGTCGCCAAAATCAATCAAGCATTTAATGTACATGGTATCATCTTTGACATAATTATTATCATGTTGCAAGATCATTGGTAATGGAAAAAATTTTGGTATACCGCTAGCAATGTTCATTTCACTACGAGGACGCTGAAAACTATTCGATTTTGTATCGGGGCGAAACGAATCAATAATGTGTCTTTGTTGTCCTGATTGATCAAATAAACAAAATGTCACCTTAAAATTAAATGGCCATCTAAGAATAGCATCGTATTCACCGCGCATTATCAGGAAGAAGAGGGACATATGTGTTCGTCGAGCATTTCCATCGCCTTGTAAATAAAGTCGAATTCGCATTTTGTAGCCGGTTGGTGACGAATAAAATGGTGGTGAATAGATGCTTGTCTGTCTTTCTGATTCAGCATCGGCCATTCGTTCTGAGATGTTAATTACTTTCCAACTGAAAGTTCCATCATAGGAGATTGATTGTAAATCCTCGACTTTCTGTTTTGTGCTTGAAATTTCTTGTTGCAATATTTCGTGGTTAGGTGAAATACCGGTAGTATACGCGTCTAACTGCGCTGTTGATTCTCTGAGTTGGTTTATTACATTCTGATATATTTGTAACTGATTTTGATGACGCAATGATTCTGTACTTAAACGAATCGAGTCGTCACTTAATGTCTGTATATCTCTCGTTAATGTTGTCAACGTCTCATAAAATTGCTGAAGCTGAGAATAACAATCGTTGGTAACTTTGATTGTTGATGAAATAGCACCAACACATGGCAATGATGACGGCAGATTCAACAGCTCAGACGTCGCTCCAGTTCTAAGATTGTGTTCATTTTGCTGTGACTGAAACAACTGCGTAAACTTTTGGAGAAACAAATGTATACTTGTCTGATGCTGTTCGGTCAGATAATGGCTACCGATATCTGTTCGTGCAATCTACAAAAAATTGATAAAATCATTTGCGAAATGATTCTGAATTGTATCTAAGAGGACAATGTATGCGTGTGAGTAAATGCTCATGTTATATGTCATGCTTAAAGATATCTCCAGATAGATTGTATTCTCAAACAGATTATATTATTGACAACCTACTTTTTCTGATGAGCATCCATATTCTGCCAATAAACATAATTGTGTTGCTTTTGTACATGAATTCTTTTGATGTTCAATAAGTGAATACTTCGATGGAAAGATCTCTTTACAATAATCGCATTGACAATCGGTCTTATGACATTTTTCGATGTGAACCTTAAAATGAGTCAAAAAAGCTTTTAGATTCGAATGCAATAAGGAATTTAACAGTTAAAGACCTGGTAGTCTTTGAATTCACCAGTCCATTCGCAACCATTGGTCTTTTTTATGCAGATGATTAATAATCTCAACATCTCTTTTCCAAATCCTTTATCGAGCATAAGCTAAACAAAATATAAAGAATCATAAGTTGGAAAATATACATAGAGTGGTCAAAAAAAAACTTATCTCCTTATGAAATATAATTTCTGCACTTATAACATTTAGTTTTTGTACCCCTTCCTTTTGTAATTATATGCCGTAGATAGAGCAATATGTATGAATTATTGATAAATTTTGGTTTCACAATGAGAAACAAAGTACAGTATAATCAAGAGGCATGAAACACCAAATAGCATCAAACTTAAGGAATTCTATGAAAACGAAAAAATCTTTAAAAAACAATCCTTTTCAAATCGAAATTATTTTGAATGAATTTCCTTTTTATCTCCACTCACCATGGAGTGTTTTCAAACTAAAAACATTTCTGTTTAGTAGCTTTGTCTCGGCTCTTCCTATTACAAAAGGAATTGATTCAACAACTAAATGTTATAAGTGCAGAAATATTCCATAAGGGGGTAAGTACTTTTTTGGATCGCTCTATAAGATTTTAATTTCTCTACTTTATCACTGGTGGTCGTCACAAGACATTCTGGGCAAATTGTTCTATCAAAGAAAGAAGTGAAGTAATATATGAGGTCAACTACTCGCAATTCTCAAGTAGCACATAGTAAACAAAACTTGGTTAGTAAGCTAGAAGTATCTCCGTTACTAGACTCAAATGACGTAGGCATGCTGTAACAAGAAATTCCATCAGATAGTTATCTATTAAGAGTTGGACTCTCGCTGCAATTATTAACAGTATACTGTTAATAACATATATGTTTATCTGTGAGTGAGCCGAAAAAAAGATGATTCTTCGGTTAAAAACGTAATCGCTGATTTAAACGAGAATAGAATGCGTGTTAGTTTTTGACTTACTCAGATTGTGGCCGGATACATGACTGACATATCCGGTGACCGCAATTGGTTAATTGTACAGGATCTCTCAAAAGTAACTCGCATTGTGGACAAATAAATTTTCGTTCAAATTGATCTTTGTTAGCAGCATCGTATCCGCACCCCCATTCTGTTTTACACGGAAATTTCAACTCAACAGTATCTGTATTATTGTTCTTACAATCGTGTTCAAGCTGTGTTACATCCTGAAAAACAGAGAATAAATTATACCCCATGTTTAAAGTTTCTTATATAAAATATGGACATAAACAATCTTTCATTTTACGAAAGAGGAGAGAGTACAGTACTGCTATAAAGATCAGAGTAATAGAATTTTAGCAAAATTCACACACTTTGACTTTATTATTCAAGCTTTCGAAAGCTTCTGCTTTCATCTTCAGGAAAAAAAATGACAAAACTACTGAGAAATATGTTCAAAGTACATACGAGAGAGAGAGATAAAGAACAAAAATGATTTGTACACTAATTGAAACGATCAACGGATATATTTATTCGAATATGTTCGAAGAATACTATTTTGCCCCCAAAATTCTCCTCATCGGAGAGATAGATTTAAAACACTCTTAGTCGATGTTTAATGTCATTTAGAGAGTGTCCGTGACTTTCTTTTGTAAATAATGCTTCTTTTATTACACGTCTAGTTACTAGTTACTACTTACTTGATTAGCTAAGTTTTCGTTTGTATTCGTTTGGTTTTGTATATCTTTACATTCTCTGGCTAAAATACCATTGCAGTCATACAGAGATAAACATTGTGTAGAAGATACATCGTGGACTAAAAAATTTAACAGAATACAACAAATTCCATCTACTATCGTAATTCCTCACGATCATACACTTGCTAATGTTCCCCGGCTGTCGTACAATATTATCACTTAAGACAACTGTTGTACCGCGTATGGATGTTTGTTCAAGTTTTTTCACAACAATTTGTTTGGATTGCTTAATACATTTTTGAAATTCTTCTTGATCAAAAGAACGTTGATTCCGTTCATCGTTGATATTACTTGCCTGAAGCGTAGTTAAATGTAATGGTAAGTTTTCTTGATGAAAAGGTTTACGTATATTAGACAAATAATGATTGGAAAGATCTTTGCATGTATTCGAAACAAGTTCACTTGTTTCATCCGTAAGATAAATAAATTTCGTATCTTTCTGTGCTGATTCTGATAATCTCGGCAAATATTCGATTACATTGTTAATGGCTGGAAAAACTAACTGTAAGCGATCATTTGGTGATGAATCAATGGCCGATCTCCATAATTGAAAATCGTTAAAAACGGTTATAGAAGAAAAATTTTCTTCAATATGCATCGATATATCAGGACAAAGAGCAATAATTCTTTGTTTAGTCATATTCATATATCTGAAACTTAATACAACAAGCTTTCTCTTTTATAGTGCACCACTGTCAAGAAAACTTCAATTGTCAATCGTTGAACTTTACGGCTGAAATGGATCTAATATTATTTTTCAACTTAGTTTTCAAAGCTAAATAAGAAAACATAATTTGAACGTTCCGGCCAAAAATCCAAGTCAAAAAATCTAACTTTTTTGAACATCATCGTTTTATCGAGTTTTGAGGTCGTTCGAGTTTCCTCGATCTTTTGACATGAAAGAAACGTTTCGAATAATTAAAAACTATATATCCTTGATTAGCTCAAAAGACTTTATCGAATGGTGCATAATAAGTTCAAAAACAAATTTCATTTGATTCTTGAATTAGCTGCACCGTACTAAAACGCATACATGTGTCTTCGGTTCAACTATAACCTTGATTTTCTCCGTCTAATCGCCTTCGCCCCCATTGGAACTTTCAGGATTTGAAGTACTAGCCATGTAGATCACAAATATTTGTGTCAGGGTTCTGTGCAATCTCTGGTTTTTCGGGAAAATTGCCTCAAAGTTGGGCAAAAATGTAGAACTGCTCACAGTAATATCTATGTCATTTTGTCTGGAAATATGATACAGGATTGCGTAACCTACCAGCAGATAGAGCATAAAAAGGTGATTCTAAAACACTAATTAGGGTTGAGCTTCGGTTTGATTAACATGGAGATATCTAACCTGGGGGAGAGCCGAAATCACCGTTTTTCAACAACTAATTTTCAACAATTAAGGCACGTTGGAATGTTTTTTCAGCTAGATAAGTCCGCTAGAATGGTGAGTTCTATCTATGTTAAGATTTCCAGACTTATATCTAGTAAAGTGAAGAAACGTCCTTAAAAACAATTTTGCTGGGGAGAGCTTCGGGGGCCTTGACAGGGGGACCCCTAAAGCGATTTAAAAACTTTTTAAGGTGATTCGCATCAATGGTCGCAGAATTCAAATGGAATAAAGAAATCAAAACAAAATATCAGAAATAAGTTCGGTAAAAAGAAGTTTACCGAAGAACAATTCGGTAAAAAATATTTACTGGTCCTTAGGTAAAAACCTTTTTACCGCTACCACCGCAATCTCGTTTTTCGGTAAATTCATCTTCCCATAACGACGGTAAAGAGGCTTTTACTGTTATCGACAATAAAGCACCGGTTACCGTACATCCTTAATCTACATATGGACAAGACAGTGTGTTAGAGCCCTGCGGGATTGAGTTTTTTCGTCCCGACCCCGTCCTGTAGAGTACACATTTGATTCCGGGTAGTTAAGTGCTCATCCTCTTTTGACATTCATCCTTACTAGATATTCATCCCCAGGTCGTTGATTCCGGCGTCAGAATCCTGACGGAACCTACCGGCTGCAACATAGGAACAAGCCCGAAGTTGTCGGAATTCGGTAAAATCCGGCCGGGTTATGCCGGAAATCCATTGCTCGGAATCCGTGCCGAAAGATGTCGGAAAAGATCCGACCGGATCCGACATCTTCCCACCGATGAATCTTATTTCGCTGGATGTGGCAGAACGTGACCAGTTTTGAGGTTCAAAATAGTCTTCAATTTTTCCTTTCATTTTCTAGTGGTTCTTCTCTCTATTTATTCGAGAGAGTGGCGGCCCCACTACCTAGGACGTGTATAACACGTCCGATGAACAGTGTGCGCGATGGCTCACACCACTAGGAATTTGAGAAGAGCAACTTCTCATTTTCTGTAGTGTCGTATTTACAGTGCTCCTGTCGTGAAACAAAACGGTGAATATATTATGCGCACAGGAAAGAAAGAAAAAAAATAAAGTGCACATTACAGGATCCGTCAATTTCCGCTCACCGGAAATTAACAAATCCGACTGGTTCCGGATATCGGATCCTCCGTGAACCAAATATACGAACGCAAAGGAATTGAGCAGATTCCTATATTCCGATCGTTCGGGCGGCCAATCACCGGAATCAATCAAAAGCATCCGATCGTGCGAATCCGATGTGGACCTCTCTAGATTTTCATCCTTACTTGATATCCACTCTCCCTAGATATTCATCCTCTCTAGGTCCGAACATTTGCGACATCTTTCATAAGCTTAGCAGAAACGTGGTTAACCTTATCCAATACAACGATACCTATTTCCAGTTTCATATCCATTGTCCATTAAACAATCTTTTTTCTTCTTCTCTTTCTCGTTACTATTGCCATGCTGTCTTACAAGGTAACGCTCGTCTCCACTCGCTCGGTCCCTTGACTTTATTAAGTTGGATCTGCGCAAGCGAACGCCCTTTGGTGGCTTATAAATCGAGCACAATGCTCACGCCTCCCTTCGGTCGGCCCTCGCTGGGGCCCTGCCTAAGGCATCTGCTGGATTTCTTTTCTTCTTTTATCTATAAGATTCGTAATCTGATATAAATATATAAATCAACAATCTGTAGAGGTCTAAACATATTTCTGAATTCAAAACAATGCTCACACCTTCCGTTGGTCGGTGCTCGCTGGAGACCTGCCTAAGACATCTTCAGGACTTTTTCTGTTTTCATGTGTAAGGTTCGGAATCTAATATGAATATAAGGAGCAAAAAATCTCAAGAGGAAAATCTCAAGCAAAAAATCTAGAACTACTTCTGAATTGAGAACAATCCTCACGCTTCCCTTCTGTCGGCGTTCGCAACCAGTATAGATGAGAAATGCTATGAACTTCTCTGATTCCACCGGAAAACCATCTAATGTAATATAAAGCTAAAAGGTTTTCTGCACACCCTCTGCAGATAATCGATTTGTTATAATAGATTATCTATACACTGTCAATACACTGTTTATTACCCGTAGACCACTTTTTTTGTATTGTCACAGTTGACTGCTATCTGGCGACATCAACCCCGGCCCACAGAAAACGGTTGCTGAGCTGTTCACGTCTTTGCATCAGTAGATATTTCAGATGATCCCTTTGAATATTTTCTCTCTTATGTAAAAAATAATTTTCTACGTTTTGTCTCTTGTGATTCGCTTAACCATAGAATATCTGACAGCCATTTTTCCGTATTTTGACACACACAGACAGACAACTATTTTGTAAGACCCTAGACTAAAGTCAAGGGAATTTATCTCCTTTTATCATAACCCTAGAAAGGATGAATATCTATGTATATCAGTAACAAGGTAACGCTCGGTCACCTGACTTTATTAAGTTGGATCTGCGCAAGCGAACGTCCTTTGGTGACTTTGAAATCGAACACAATGCTTTCGCCTCCCTTTGGTCGGCGCTCGCTGGAAACCTATCTACGACATCTTCCGGATTTTTTTCTATTTTCATGTGTAAGGTTCGTAAACTAATATAAATAGAGCAAAATCTCAAAAGGTCTAAAACTATTTCTGAATTCAAAACACTGCTCACGCTTTCCTTCTGTCGGCGTTCGCAACCAGTATAGATGAGAAACGCTATGAACTTCTCTGATTCTACCAAAAAACCATGTAATGTAATACAAAGTTAAAAGGTTTTCTGCACACCCTCTGCAGATCCCAAGGAGGTTGGAAGTATTTCT